AGCCCAATACGGTTTCCAGTGCGTAAGGCGCGGTATGCGAGGAGTTGCCCCTGACCTTATTGTTTAACAAAAGATGAGGGAAAAGCGATGCCCCAATGAGCATGTCTATGTTTCCAGGAACGGCGTAAGTGTCGTCTGCTAGAGGCAAATTTTTAAATTCAATCATTGCCGAGGTGTCAACCGAAACGGTTGGCAACCGTTCAGTGACCCTATCTACTACTAGTGCATTTATATCAAAGTTAACATTACGATCTATCCGAGAATAAAATTTTAAATTTATATATCCCTGTGTCGCTTTACTAGTACCTCCGATGCCTTTAACTACAGGACATGAAAGTGACCTATTTATTACTAAACCTAAGCGCTGACAACATTGTCGTGTTATAAAGCTATTTTGGGCTCCGCTGTCCAGCAGTGCACGGACGCTTTGTTCGTTTCCACGCGAATCCCTAACCAAAATACGCGCCGTACCCAGTAACACGGTCGAAGGAGGTTGTACTCCCATATTTGCCAATGAGCACAGAGCGACATCACCAGGTCGACCGCTAGAATCGTTGACCTTAGTAGGGGTGAATTCCTTATCCGCCTTACTTGACGCCGCTATGTTGCTATTTTCAAAATGTAATAGCGTGTGATGTTTCCTGGCGCACTTGCTACATACGGAACTCGAATTGCATTTTGCAACTAAATGCTTATCGCTTAAGCAGTTCAAACATAGGTTGTTTGTCTTTACTAACTTATAACGTTCGCTTGGTGAATATTTACGAAAAGTCGCACAATTATATAAATTACCGTGTTTATCTTTACATACTATACAAGTATGCTGGAGTGATGTCGGCGTAGCGGTTACGTAAGTTAACGACCCTGCTATTTTAGATGGTTGAGTCTGTCTACGGTCGACGCACCTTTTAATCTCCTGTTTAACGTTCGGAGAGCGCTGCATCACCTTTATTTGATGTCGCACGAACGATGCTAATGAATGAAAGGAAGGCATCTCCGAGCTACGATGCTCCATTTCAAACGCACGCACGGTGTCGGAGTCTAATTTCTTTAATGCTATATGGAGAAACACCACGTCCATAAGGTCATCAAACTTCAAATTCTTAAGTGCAGCCACCGATGCCACAAATTTATCTAGAAACTGCTCTAAGCCGTTGATGTTCGCGGATGATATAGGTTTTGAGATCGAATATCTGGTTCAAATATTCGGAAGCTAACATTCTCCTATCTTCATATTTAGTTTTAAGCGTTTCAAATATTAATACGTAATTGTTTGCTGTAGGTGTAAAACCCGAGCAGATCGACTGTGCTCTGCCACTAAGTTTGCTAATTAAGTAATATAATTTTTCAGCGTCCGATAACGATGGGTTGTTGTGTATATTGTTTTGAAAACTACTGAAGAAGAAGGGCCACGTCTTAATATCACCATTGAATACCGGAATATCTATTGGCGGTAACCTAATTGAGTCACGAGGGCGTACCTGTATTTCCGGCTTTGCTTCGCTTTGAGATTGTAGGAGTTTTGCAGTTCTTTTTGCGCGACACAACATATCTTCGAATGCCAGCAGCGGTTGGTAGTTCACTATGTATTTCGGGTCGCTTTGTAATTCCAAATGATTAATTTGGTCTAATATTCTTTCCTAATCTATCCTCAAAGTATCTATCGTTTCGATTTCATTCAAAAAGGCTTCCCGCACTGCCTCTATATTAATGTTCTTTATATAATTACTTATATTCTGCACACGCGAAAAGAGTATGTCCCTCTTGGCATAAAGCGTTTTAATTTTGATTTCACTTCCACTAACTGCCATTTTAAATTATTATAATAAAGTTATATTAATCACAATTAATCTCACACGCATAAACGACGTAGGATGAACACTCGGCGTGCCGTATTACGTAATCAGATCGAACACCCGTTGCGGTCGAGTCTACGCGTCGTTTGCTAAACCTAATAATTTTATCAAAATTGTGGGTAAGCGTATCAAACGGTTGCTATCACACCGTTTCAATTGTTTAATAAGCTTTAAATTTAACCAAATACGAGCGCTATTAAATGAATAATTCTGTTTGCGAGTACCAAATCAAATTTTTAATTTAAACGAACACTATTTAAGTCTATTCCATAAATTACAGTGCGTTATCTAAACAATTAATTTAAAATTCGACCAGAAAATGGTAGGATAACCACTAAACACCAATCCAGATCCTGCCGAAGTGACCATAAAATGGTGGAGCCACGTGTTTAAGGCTGCCGAAAATCTAGTTCCCCGGTCAAACCTCAAACCTATTACGCGAGATATTAACTAAAGTGGACTGTATTTGCGATTGCTTCTATGCTTATGTAAAAGCGACTACTATAGCATGCGGTACAATGCACTCGCTCTTCCCTAAACTAAAACTATTACTTGCCAAATCGATGAAAGGAATCCTGCCTGATGGGGAGAACACAGAATTGGAGCGGTTAAACAATTATTAAATGTTAATCAGGCAGTAAATTAAGGAATGTTGACTCACCGGGGTTTCTTCTATCCTGTCGATCACTATGACTGCGACTTCTGGAACACTCCGGAGAGAGGCGGTGCGCGACGATATCTCACACGAGGTGAGGCGGGTTCCTGGAGCTCGACTGCTTCCAGGCCAAAGCGGTTTCCACTAGTGAGGTGTTTCCAAACGAGCGCGCGGGAAGAGGAGGTTGTAGTTCAACGACGGCTGCGGCGGGAAGAAGAGAGCGCGCGTCGGTCGCGCGTGTCTTATATATCCTCGGCTCCGGTGATTGCGCGATGTTCTAGAATCGTCTTCTTTCCCCTCCCACCCCATCACCCCGATGTGTCGATAGGAGGGTACGAATGATATCGTTTTGGAAGGAATAATGATTCGGCAAGTTCCTACCGTTATAAATAAAAAACGCGAATGGTTTTCCGCGCAACCAAAAGGTATAGGATAAAGATATTAATAGTTACTTAGCAACCATCCGCTCAATTACATAAAATGATGTGTCTTATAAAATGATGTGACTTATAAATTACTAGCGTAGTCTTACCTAGTTTGAAGAGCACCTCCCGCCCTCCTTCAAGGGAGGCCCTTGAGGAGAGACGGGAGGATGGTTGCAAAGTAACTATTAATATCTTTATTATAATGGATTTTCGCAAAGTGACGCCTGGCATTCTATCAATTACCATAAATAATAATTAAAAAGCTGAAGATATTCCGGGTTAAAACTGACATCGGGATGTCACGTCAGTCGCCTCAGTCACCCGTGACCATAAGGGCTGGAAAGCACCCAAAACGTCGTGAATTTAAAAATCTAGTAAATTAAATGCGATAAAATCCATAGTAGTAGTAAAAGTAGTTTCAATCAATGTGTAGGTTCGCGTATAAGAAATCATTATTATCATAGTATTTCAGGAACGTTAGCAGGGTTAAAAATACAGAAAGACAATGTAGTATTTATAAAAGCTTATAGATAATCAGCAAAGCGAAACCTTACTTTACATGTATCTTGAACATGGCCGAAAATGTCGATCAATTCACGCGTAGTCTCCCTCACCATGCCATATTTCATATGTCAGTAATCATGTCAGTATTCACTGTTTGGGAAAGATTATTTGGGATCATTGAGCATTATACATAAATCTCTAACGAATATGCCACAAAGCCCTTATTGTTCAAAAATGAAATGTGTGTTGTATATTAACCATATATATTTATCCTTTCCAAGCCAGTAGTTTGAATGTATCTTGTAAAATGTGTTTACTTGGTTAGGAAGGGTGACTGTTCTTCATGGCAATTGATTACAAAGAAAGATTTAATGATGGTCTTATATACTCCTAGTTTTTTTACACATTATAAGGAACGCCTTTGGTACAAAAGCTAAAATGTCTAAGGTCAATATTATGGTTTTAGTTTACTTGAAAAATATTTGTAGCTATTTGAATAGAAATAATGAACTTTTAACAAAATATAGAAAAGAATAGTTAAATTTTTAAGCGATTCTTACTTCGCATATATTAGATTCACTAAAATGTAGTCACAAGAAAAAGTTATAATAATAATAATAATAAGGCGTAGGGAAGTGACGACCCCATCGCCTGCTGACGTAACAGTTATGTGACAAAACTGCGACGTCGGCGCAGTCAGTCAGCATCCTGCCAAGAGGTGTGAGCGCCGTGCCTAGGCAAAATTGTAGATGCAAAGGTCCGTTTGTGCATATGACCCAACCACGAAACGGTGCCGGGCTTGGGCGTCTCCCGTTATTTGGCGCCCATAAAATGGATGATGGAAGAAACACTGAAAGGAACGCGCATAGGGCCGCTGCCTGGGGGTCGCCGGGGCGCGTCTGGAGCTGGCGCTGGACGCAGCAGCATGCGGGCCGCCAGCCGAGCGCGAGGAGCTGCACGATCACCTAGCAGCCCCTCGCATCCATCATATCCACCAGAAAGCTTGGTGTCGGCTGGGTCTTTTCGGACCCAGCAAGCGGCACCCGCCGCTGGTGGAGCACGTCGTATGCGTTGGACAAAATCCATGAACGAAAACGCATTGCGGGCGTACTATGGGGCGAAAGGGGGAAGAAACTGTGGGAATAGCGTATAGGTCTCGGATGCATTGCTTTTTTGCTGAGCTGGAGCCGTCTATCCCCGTCACGGAACAAAACCTGGCAGACCGAGTTCGGTACATCATGCGCTCGAAAATATTTGATGATGCCGAACTCGAACGACTACGACGTGAGGCTATTCCGTCGTCGAATGAATCGGCTATGGCTGAAGATGCAGCTCCACATTTGACAGACCAGCATCCACACGTGGAAGCTGCCATGGATCTTCCAGTTGTGGTTGATTCGAACGACGATGAAATAGTCTCCCACGAACAAGAGCAAATGAGGAGTATATTGGAAGAGGCGATTTTGGAAACGCGCAGCACCCCTCTCGAAAATCGACCGCGACTTCCCCCGCATACCCCTAAGTAAGCGAAATCGGGCTGTCGTGAGGGCTCTTAACCCAATGCTGGTGACCTATTTGGAAGCCAGCCGGGACCTTTGCGAGACGGACTCGATTCTCTTTGGCGCCGCAGTGGCAGTTTGCCGTATTATTGGCGCCAAACTTCCCATGGCTGGACGCGCTACTACACAAAGTAGCGCCATCCCAGCCTGTAGAAAAAGAATCGAGGACCGTATCGCAAAGGCAAGGGCCCTTATCGGCAGACTGACAAGCTTCAGGTCGGGTAATAATAGACCGAGGATTATGCGCACCGTTAGGATGGCGTTTGCCGGGACAAATATCAGTTTGTCCCAGCCGGATATCACGCAGAAACCAACGGAGCGCATGGACGGACGACCTGAAGCAAAAGATCGCTGCTTGGGGGAAGCGGATTCGACGATTTTCCGAGAGGTCAAGGCGGTTCAACCAGAATCGTCTCTTCCAGAGTGATCAGAAGAGGCTCTATAAATCATTGGAGCAACCAAAGGTATGTGGAGCGGGCCAAGGACCGGATCAGGCTGACATTATCGCATTCTGGCGTGGTCTGTGGTCAGAGCCCGTAAACCACAGCGAGGGCCCTTGGATGGAAGTTGTGGCGAGCCAGGGTGCGAGTGTTACGCCTATGAACCCCATCACCATAACGCCAGAAGACGTGGCTGAGGTGGTCCGTAGGGCCCCGAACTGGAAAAGTCCGGGGCTCGACGGGCTGCATCAATACTGGCTGAAGGGGTTCATAGTGTGTCACGCTGTGCTCGCCCGACAGTTTCAAGAGGCTCTCGACCAGAAGTCACTCCCGAGCCTCTTCACTACTGGGATCACTCACTTGGTTCCTAAAGATCAGGATACCACAGACCCGAGCAAATACCGCCCCATCACGTGTCTACCCACCATATATAAGACACTGACATCCATTTTGAGCGCGAGAATCACTCGTCACCTGGAGCTAAATCAGGTGATGTCACGCGCTCAAAATGGATGTCGGGGCGGTGTTCGTGGAACTAAGGAACCACTCCTCATTGACGCGGTCATAGGCAAAGTGGTGAAACGCACCGTCAGAACTTCTCTGCCGCCTGGATAGACTACAGAAAGGCGTTCGACTCGGTGCCCCATACATGGCTAAAGAGGGTCCTCGAGCTGTACAAGATTGACTGTACAGTTAGAGACTTCCTCGAGCAGTGTATGGGGCAGTGGAGTACGATCCTTTGTCATCTGGGCGAGCGGATGACGGCTGCGGAGAACCACATAAGGATAAGAAAGGGTTATATTCCAGGGCGACTTCAACGTCTGAGTCCAATCTGGTTCTGCCTCTCTTGAACCCTCTCAGTACTTTACTGGAGGGCTCCGGGAGGGGATTTCAGCTTCGGAAAGGAGGTACAAAAGTGACCCACCTTTTCTATATGGATGATCTCAAGTTATTCGCCTCCAGTCGCTCCCATCTTATGGAATTGCTAAACATCACTTGTGAATTTAGCAATTCTATTAGAATGGAGCTGGGGACGGATAAGTGTGCGGTCCTCCATATTGAAAGGGGAAGGGTCGCTAACTCTGAGGGCATAGACTTATCTATGCCCGTCAACTTAAGGGCCCTTTCCGAGGCTGAAACATACCGATACCTGGGTGTGTCACAGAACATCGGTATCGATGAGGCTGGTATGAAACAGTCAGTTTGCGACGTGTTTTATGCACGCTTGACCAAAGTGCTTAACAGCCTTTTGTCCAGTGTGAATAAGACACATGCATATAACGGTTGGGTCATGCCTGTCCTCATGTATACCTTTGGCATACTCAGGTGGAGTCAGACTGAACTTAGCGCCCTGGATAGAAAAGTCCGCACTACAATGACGTCCCATAGGATGCATCATCCGAGATCGTCGGTAATGAGGCTGTACTTGCCGCGAAAGCATGGTGGGCGTGGCTTTCTGAGCGCGCTCACCATGCATAATCGCGAAGTGTGCAGTCTCCGTCAATACTTCTTGGCGAGATCGGATGATCCATTCTATAATGACGTCATTTCTAGTGATAAAGGGCTTACCCCTCTATCCTTAGCCAACGAGCAATGGCAGGACCCAGCAGTGCTTAGCATTTCCGACCGGGAGACCGTATGGAAGGAGAAAGAGCTCCACGGGAGGTACTACAAGGCTCTACATGAGCCCTTCGTAGATACAGTCGCCTCCCTCAACTGGCTACGTTTCGGTGACCTCTTCGGGGAAACCGAGGGTTTTGTCTGTGCAATACAGGATCAGGTTATTAATACCAACAACTATCGGAGATACATCCTAAAGGATGGCACCGTCGACGTCTGTCGAGCTTGTCGCCATCCCGGGGAGTCACTCAGGCATGTCATCTCCGGTTGTTCGGCGCTTTCTAACTCTGAGTACTTGCACAGGCACAACCTAGTAGCCAGAATTCTACACCAGGAGCTCGCTCTGAAATACGGTCTCGTGGACCGGAAATTGCCGTATTACAAGTACTTGCCGGAAGCCGTGCTCGAAAATGACCGCGCCAGGCTCTACTGGGACCGGGCCATCATCACAGACAGGACTATTCTTGCGAATAAGCCTGATATTGTGCTGATGGACCGGGCACAGTCAAGGATATTTTTGGTCGATATTACCATCCCGTATGACGAGAACCTCGTGAGAGCCGAAACAGATAAGCAATCAAAATATCTGGACCTGGCTCACGAGGTGACCGACATGTGGGGTGGTCTGCCGACCGAAATTATTCCTGTAGTCGTCTCTGCGAATGGGCTAATCCCAGTTAGCCTCTCTGGTCATCTGAGGCGACTGGGACTCCGTGACGGACCGCTCCGGGCTCAAATGCAGAAGGCGGTGCTCCTTGATACTGCCCGCATCGTCCGCCGGTTTCTTTCCCTTTCACCCTAACCCTTGGCCGTTTGGTCTCCCCTGCCGAGGGTTTCCATCTGGTTGGGCTTTTATTTATTTATGTATTTTCGTATTTATTTTATTTTATTGATATTTATGTATATTTATCTTTTCATTTTCGTTTATAATTATATATTTATGCATCCCAACCAGATGAGAAAACTATATAGATACCCCACACATAATAATAATACTAGCTTGCCAGGCAGACGTTGTTCTGCCTTTTTCGACGACCCTGTCATGTCCTACTAAAAATCCTTAAATTCGCAAAAAAATTGTGGATCACTCATGGGCAAAAAACTATCCTGTCTCTCAAGTTGGACCAAACTGCTCACGGTGTGCAAATTTGATTGAAATCGGTTGAGTAGTTTAGGAGTTCATCGCGGACAAACAACGTGACACCTAATTTATATATATTAAGATTATTTTAATATTAAATGTATGGTTACACAAAGGGCTTCAGAATAGAAAAGAATCATTTTATTCAATATAGTATTTCCACTGGTTCCATTATTTTTAACAAAAAGTACTGCTGGGTTTATTGCTGGTTCTTCCCAGGACGGAGATTTTTTTCCGAACCAGTGGTAAAGTAAAAAATGAATTTCAGTAAGAAATGTTTGGCTATGTTTAAGATACGTGTTACGTAGGGTTGAGCTTTGCTAATTATCTATAAGTTTTTATTACTTAATACTGCATTGTCTTTCTGTATTTTAACCCTTCATAGCTAACTTTCCTGAAATACTGTGATAATAATGATTTCTTATACGCAAATACTACACATTGAATAAAACTACTTTTCCGGATTTTATCGCGTTTAATTTACTTGCTATTTAAATGCCCGACGTTTAACACCAATGGCATTTGCAGATACGTTGCCGTCCTTTTAAAAAAGAGTAAACTCTCTTCTTGAAATCTCTAGGTCGGATCGATATGGAAAAATAGCTGTTGATAGCAATGATAATTTTTTCAATGTGAAAATATTAATAAGTTAACACAACAAGAACTTGTATACGTGGTAGAGCCATGCTGCAGTTGTATTAGTAGTATAGTTGTAGCACGAATGGGTCGTGTGGTATGAGTGGCAAATGGGGAAGGACCACGCTCTCACAGAATACCAGCGTGAAATAGTAGCTTAACGCTGCTGTGTATCGTATGGTGAGTGTAGAAACCGGAGACTCTTTTTACTTGAAACGAGGCATTCCATCTTACTTCTCACAGGTGACAACGCATCTGCATTTTGATTCGTAATCTAGGATAGATGTAGATGTCTATGGGCCGCAGTAACTACTTACCATCAGGTGGCTGTGTGCTCGTTTGTCACCCTATCCTATAAAAAACAATTAAATGTTTGATAATATAAATTTTGTGTATTTTCAATTATTTAAGAACACATAACTTCGGTAAGAAACGTAATTTAGTAGGGCCCAGCGTCCCTTGTTCGTAATTAGACTTTATTAAACTTGTCCTCGCCTGGTTGGTTTGTAAACCAATTATTGTGGAAAACGTTAAGGGCGGAAATAAAAGACCAAAGGCATGCCAACTTTAGTTGGTATAATTATAAATGTCTGCTTTGTGTACTTCTCTATATCTTTCATTAGTAAATATTGAACAAGTATTCGTATTGTATGGGAAGGTTATTTACGATTTGGTAAACACCGATTCTATTTTATCTCACTTGTATCTCTTTATGTTCAAATTAAATTGGAGAAATTTAAAATTCTTAATTTTTACCCGCCTGCCTCACGTTTTGTTTGTAAATATATGCATATGTACAAAGTATATATACATTTCTTCGTTTCATTTTTAACTTCCTGTAACCTAAAGTACTTGGACCTTCATGTTTTATTTCATCTTAATAATATATACGTAGGTACTACTAAATAAATAAAAACGATGCTTCCTTGAAGCGTTTTCTTTTTATTACCTGACTGCGGAGGGTAATGCGATAATAAAATTAAGCGTTATAAAGGCGCATAAAGTCCACCTAATGGTGAGTCGATGCTTTGTGCTGGACGACTAGCATTAAATCTCGAATGCGTAATAAAATAAGAAATTCAAGTTTTTATGGCTTCTTAAACAATCGTTCTTAAATCTTTGGGAAATATTAAATTAAGTAATTAATAAACCATAACAGCACAAATTGATCATGAAAACGTGTTAAAAAGTATCTTGTTCTTTGCAACGAAAGAAGTGAACAAAACACATTATGCTGCAATTTCACGTTGGTATATTTAGTAATGTCTTCGATTTTCCTTGTTTAAGTTGACATATTCGTATTACAGCTCATGTATTGTTATAACATGCTCTAGGTACTGCTCATACATTGCTAAATATGTCACTTTATAAGCTTTAAATATAATCGATCGCTTCTGTCAGGTTATTACTATATATTACTTCCTTAATAATAATTTGCTTATTAAAATATGTCGATATGATCAGCAATAATATTTTGATAGATGAAAGAGTAACAAGCGAGTGCACAGTCTGCTTAATGATAATTGTATAATAAGGTTCATAGACTCCTAAACCTCAGAGGAATAAGATGGAATGCTTCGTTAGTAGTTA